AGTAAGAAATTCAAACGTGATTGTAATCGATCATGTGTTGGATGCAAGCTTTTTTATTGCAAAGTGATTTACTGTCAAATTTCAAAATCTGCCACAGCCTCTTCATTATCATCCGAAACCATTTAAACTTTTATTTATTTTAATACTGATTGCATTCATTTAGTCTTCTAAGGATGGGGTGACAATTTGTGTACATCAGCGATTTAATTTATTTGCACTGAGTTCGTTTGAAGATTATGTCCTCAATTCAGAATCGCTTTCCAATATGTGTGTCTTCATGATATATGTTATATAGGCCATTTACACAAACAAATGTAAGGCTTACCAGCTACATATGTTTGTAGGTAAACAAAAAGCTTGCACGATATTTTGCAAAACATATTGTTGAGCTAGCTATTTATAAGAGCAAGTCCATATATCGAATGTGAACTAAACAGACGAAGTAAATTGATTTCAGATTAAAGAAATTGTTGCGAGCATGCACAGTAACACATATATATTTAGGTATGTAAGTATTCTGGTGCACATATATAATTCAACGGGTCTTTATATGCGAAATCCGAAGAATAGTATTACAAAAGGATGCTTTCGTGAAATGGAATGGTGTTCGCACATGAGAGTGGAGTAAAGAAAAAATTTTGCGACGCATGAGAACGCAGGAATAATTTCGAATAGATTTCAATGCTAAAGGCTTGCAAATAAGTTTCTTAAAGTACATAAATAAATAGTAATTCGGATAAGATTTGATTAGATAACTCAGCCAAGCTGCTGGCATTTGTGGTTTACTTTTTTTAGAGTTCTTGGAATCCAAATAAACGCTAAACATGCTTAGTTATATTTGCTCTAGGCTAACGCAAGTTAAAATTTCGATGAGCGTAATCAAGTCTCCTAGAGAGTTATCGCTAGTTATATGTAACAGCGTGTTTAAAACTCTTGCATACTTATGTCGGAAATTCAGTGCCCGCATGATATATTTTTCAATACTAAGAAGACACAGCATTTGCATACTTATGTACGAATATATGTACTACATACATTAGTATAGCATATATCCATATATGAATTATAAACAGTGCGTTCAAAAAATAACGTTTTTCCTTTACGCGATTAATTTGCGGAAAACTGCCGCAGCAGCAGCCCTTCTAACGAAGCATCCTAAAAAATGGTGAAGTATTTAAGTACAAGTTGTACAATTTGAAGATGAGGTATAACCATTATGGAGAAATTAGAAACCCCTACATTCAAAACCACACATTGGAAAAAGGTTGCATTGGGCGCAGGAAAATATCAACCATGATTGGAGTAATGCAATATTTACAGATGAGTCAACTTTTGTATTGTTCAACCCCTGTTAAACCTGTGCCTGATTATGGATTCTTCTCTGCTCATGGATTTGGGATTTTGAGCTGCTTCACAGACAACCTTAACTCCGTTCGAATTAGAAAATTGTATATAAAGGGTTTACTGAAACAGCATGCGGGTTAACTATTAACGATACCACATACAAAGAGCATATTAAAGGTCAAAAGAAAGGTGTAAGTTCGGTACAAAGCCACCACAAGAAATTCTCGCTAAATCCCAAATTTTTAATAGTGAAGATTCGACAAAAGATGCCTAAAAAACATCTCGGTCATTATACAATGGCCTTACCAAGTTTTATGTAAAATTTCATACACAATTAACTGTGTGACGGATTTAAATATAACTTGATTCTTGACATTTTCCTCACGTCTTCTTGAGTATGTTTAAGTTTGCAAATATAAGTAATTGCCAACACTAATACTTTCAAATTTAAGCACAACCCAGATATCAAAATAAAATTAGAGCTAATGGAAGTCCTGGCATATGCAAATTGTAGGTATACTTTTAATTCCGTTTACTGATTATGAGAATCTGCCTTCTTCTGGCTGACTTTATGCGCACTACCTGACAATATGTGAGATATTTAAAGTGCTAGACCAGTCGAGGATTTTAAAAACTGGCCTATATACTCGTACGATATGAAGAGTAAACTGTGGATTCCAGACCAAAGTTCGACCTGTTTTTGACCGCCAGTCAATACCAGTTATGAAATCACATGTCCAAATATAAGTTTGTAACTAACATAAAATGTCACCATTTTAATCAATAGTTCAAGGACATTTAACTTTAGTTAAAAAAACCTCCATCGGAATATTGAGCACAACTTTAATTCACAGACATTATAATATCCATATGTAAATAAAACTGAGTCTGCAGACACATTTTTACCAGGATACTATATTTATAATACACACATCCATACATACATATCTACCTGCCTACCCGCATTTATGTGTGTAAGTGCCATGGCAGACGCACTTGAAGCACTGTAAGCTGAGTTGAAGTGCCACTTATTAGACTTTTCCACTGCAAACATGTTCTATGGATATTAAGGTCTGCTTAGGGAAAGACCAAACGCACTCGTGTCACATATGGATATACAAAAGCATCATTGTGCAGAGGACTGCATTGGGTTGAATGTATTATTTTCGTGCTTGTTACAAGGGGTTTCATATAAAGCGTCAAAGTACAAGAATATCCTTTATACAAGGTGTATTCAAAAAGTTAGGGCTACGGCAGTGTAAAGTTCCTTGTTTTTGTTTGTTTGCTACACCTGGCTTTTCGCTTATTTTTGTTTTAGATGTTTAAAAAAGGTGTTTTTCCTATGTTTTTTAATACAAGTATATTCAATCATATATTTAATTTAAACAATTCGACATATCAAAGATACATATTCAAACAGTATTTTGCGAAAAGTTCTTGCAGTTGACAGCGTAACTTATTATTAGTTCATCTAAAATCAAAAAGTGCAGTACATAGTACAAAGATTAATCTCGTTTTGGACGAAGGAAAAAATAGTTAATATTTGACAGATTTTTAACAAAAAAATAAGTTTTTTGGTCAAATTTACGCCATGTATTGGACTGAAAAATTATTTGTAATAAAAAATAAAAACATTTTGTTCAAAGACTAGATAACGTTACTTCAAACTTTTCATAACTTTTTAAAAATTTGGTTACAATGACAAAATAAATTGAGGTTTGAGATAAACGCTTTTAAGTGCGAAGCGCTACACTGACGTGGCCTGATGGGCGGAACTTCCAAAAGGTCTATCTCTTTGAATTTTACTCCGATCGATTTGAATAAGTTTGTTAGAATATTTAAACATAATGTTCTATTTAATAAAACAATATAAACAAAATCAATTTTTTTTATTTATTTTCAAACCCATTTAAAATTGTGTCTTAGGAATAGAAAAAAACACTTCAAATGTGGAAAATTGTTCGAAGTGAGTTTACCAATACTCTTCTAAGAAGAACCGACTAATTTCACTCGTCGTATCACCACGTCAATGGCTGATGAAAGCTTTAAATGAAAGTGAAGAAAATAGTGTTGGAGGCTGGTTACTGATTATTTGGCGTGCAAGTTTTTTGGGCAGGAGATAAGATAAGAGAAACTTAGTCCCAACCTGTTTTTACGCAACTAAAACTGAAATTTGCTCCTACCACTACGTACACATACATATTTCTTTCATTTCTGAAAAAAAAAATGTACAAACTACATATGGTATATAGGTATGATTCAAAAATGGACCTATTCTGCGAGGGTTCAGTCTCAGTTCCAAATGACAAGGGGTTGAAATCACTAAGGTTTCATCTTACCTGCAGTTGGACAATAATTGTTAGAAAATACGTTTCCGATTGAATAAGTCCAAGATAAAATTCTACTTTTTGATGCATTTGTTTTTAGAGATAAAGTAATATATGGCTAAGCTTTTTCATTTGCCAAAGATTATACACTGAATAGGGTATATTAAGTTTGCCGTGAAGTTTGTAACACCCTGAAGAAAACGTCGAATACTCTATAAAATATATATATCTAAATGATTATGTGCCGCTAATCTGAACAGTAGTGGCATTGCCTACTCTAAAAATATAATGCTACTGGCATGCGCAGCTGATGTTGACATCGTAGACCTTAATAACAGAACCGCCAGGGCAACCTTGCCCAGCCTAGAACAAAAACAAGCGAAAGTAACTGGAGGCCACACACCTTCTTGGAAACTATGTCAATGTTGGCAGATATAAATTTAAAAAAGTTGAGGATTTTGTATGTCTAGGAATCAGCGTAAATTCCACAAATAATATAACATAAAGAGATTAAGCGCAGAATAACTCTTGCCAACAGGTGCGACTTTGGGATCGGTATTCAATTGACGAATAAAAGTTACTCTTTATACGTCTCTGATTATTCCCGGCCTATAATATGGCGCAAAAATATGAACCATGATGAACCGTGATGAGAGAGCATTCGAAAGAACTGTTTTCCACAAGATCTTTGGAGCGATGAATATCGAAGATGATAGAACCACGAACTGTATGAGCTCTACAGTAACATGTATATAGTTAAGTACATAAAAATTATACGAATGCGCTGGTTAAGCCATGTCGTTCGCAATAAGATTATGTTCCATCTAAAAACTCTTTCGATCTATCTGAACTTGAGATGTACAACTGGCGTGACCTCGCAAAGGATAGAGGCCACTGTCGAAGTTTTGTGTTCTCGGCTCAGATCGACCCAAAGAAGAAGAAGAAACGATCAGCATAATAAGCTGAGTTAATCTGATTATGTCCGTCTGTCTGTATATATGGAAACTATTCCCACAGTTTTTTATATCAGACCACTTTAGCATAAAACTGCCATACAATCTAAACGGTCAAAATCAAGTTCTTGTATGTAAACTTCTTTATTTGTAAAGTGGGTACCGAGTCTGCAGCTAAAGTTAACATTTTTTTTTCGTTTTATCTTTGGACTTGTTACCATTTTAAAAATTTTTATTCGTTTTTTATTTCGTTTCATAATCGGTAGCTTTTTACAACGCCATAAGTTTTCGCAGTTTTTCATTTTCATTATATGCTTTTTTTTATGTTGCCCTCTGATAACCCATGAAAATAAACTAGCGAAAAGATTTTACTTACCCAACATTCGTATTACTGCTTTGCGTGACTGCTGGTGGCGAGATTCTCTGTGCATAGAGCCCTTTTGAACGCCTGGAGAGAGAAAATAAATGAAGCAAGCGTTAATGTAAAGGGCTTCTTATGTGGGTGTGCTCTTACGCAAATCTAATGGGTTGAGAAATAATAGAGTTAAGCCAATAACTGGGCATAACAAGGTAACATAATGTAGGGATAAGTATTAGCGGAAAGAGTACTGCCAACGCTTATCCTAGCATAACATCTTATTTATATGCTCATCAACCAACCTTGCCTTACTTACTTGTGACTAACATATATTCTTCAAGTTCATCAAATTAAAATACTAACTAATTTAAACTCTTACTCACCCAACTGTAGTGTCGTGCTAAAACGTATCTGTGCGCCCATCTTGCCATACAAGATTATTATCAGCAGCATCGGTATGACGAAGAAGAAGCAGAACGAGATCTCGAAAAGTGGAAACTCATCAGGGTAATGCGACATACTGCAAAACGCGGACTCCGGTATTGTCGTCTCAGCTATTCGAAGCAGAAAGAAAAAAGTTTTTGTTATAATTACGTTGTGAGTGAAGTGCGTAACATATACTCCTAATTGAATTGAAATTCTCCAATTAACCAGAAAATCGACTTAACATAAAATGAATAAAATATTTATAGACTGCTGTGACTGACAGTGTTGAGTAGATTTTCAACATATTTCGCAAACGAATAATTTGCTTGCTTACTTAAGGGATAATTCAAGTACTGTATATCCGTGAGCAGACCGAATGGGATGGCGCCTAACAAGCTGAGAATCCAAAGCGCGGCGATGATGCGAACTGCGCGCTTAAAGCCGCTCATCGCGGTCAAATGCAGAGGATGGCAAATGGCGAGGAAGCGCTCCATGGAGAAAGCGACGATTGTGAGTACGGAGACGTACGTCGAGCTGCCGATTGAAATGCAATAACAATTATTACAACAATAATAATTACAATAAAATAATTATAGTGATGGTGAAAGCATTACATTAAGGCAATAAAAGGAATGGCAAGATAATGTTTTTAAGTAACTGTAGTAATAATAATTGAATATTTTATCGAAATTCATAATACGATGCCTCTAGCGTCCATTTAACATTCATCATCAATAATATTTCACTTATAATACCCAAGGCGGCTACTTACGCTTCTGAGATGAATGCGCGTATCTTGCAGAAGGGTAATCCAAATAGGTAAGGATATTGATGCCAGTAGAGGAATATTTCCGCGGGCAAGCCTAGAAGCAAATCAAAAAAAAAATTCTTTAGACTACATTTATTATGTAATTTATAATATTATATATGTATTTAGCAATTAAAACTCGATAAATGTATAAATCAAACCAAAGTGCTCCCGCGTGAGATTATGCGAACTTTAAGTTTAAAAAAATACCTAACATTTTCTAACTTCAGCTGTTTGGATACTCCCATATGTATGTATGTATCTGCGTGTAACATTTGTTCATTTTGGAAAGTTTTCACATAAATTATGCACGCTCTGGCGTCGCCAACACAATTCAATAATCTAAATCAATATAAAACTTGGATTTTCGCCGGTCACGGCGGGTCAATGGTGCAAGCTCGTAAATCTCGCGCAATTGACAACCAGCACTTAAAATGTGTGCGGAAAATACTTTCAGGACGAATAATAAGTCTCAGAAGGTTCCAGACCACTAAGCTTAGTACAAAATATTTAAATTGCAAAATCCTTAAAGTTATAGGCCCGTTCACTTTAGTATTTGTTGAGACTGTGCTATTTACACTAAAATAAATGCCATGTTAATAAAATTTGGTAATACGGCTTGTGGTTTCTTGATGTCTCTTGCAATATAGAAATTTGAATTTAAAGTTATTCTGGTAGCGCAATGATATCACCTGAACTTCCCTTCCTAGAAGCAATATTGTCAACCAAAAACTCGATGATTTATCTCTATTTACCGATTCGCTTGAATTTTCATCCTTCAACTGAAATATTTTTATATATATTATATTATATAATAAGAAGAGTAAAACATTCAATTTTCACTGTCAAGTTTTTTACGTTAAGTTAGAGACGTTTAAAAAGCAAACTTTCTTTATTGCCTTAGCGTATTGCAAAACATAACTTTAAATAAATTTTTCCGTACTCGCTGGTCATTGTGAAATGCTAGGCTTAATTGGCGTAAAAGCAAGGGGCATCTGTGGGTTGAAAATTTGCAAGAAGTCGTCCCTTAAATAAATTTAATGTAGATACATATCTCACAAATCATAAGAGCTACATCGACCCAACTTGCTAAGAAGGAAACCTTTAGAAACATCATACAGTGTGAAAATGGGTGAAATCGGATGATAAACACGCCCACTCCCCACATATTTAATATGAGAGCCAATGACGTTATGTTGCAATTTTATTTAATCTTTTCATGTCTGAAGTTCCGAAAATGTGGACTTCTTTAACTAAAGCTGTCGTTTTTTTTGAAAATATCGGCCGATCTGTGAAATTACCTAATGAAAGACAGAGATCATCTTTTTCTGGATCGTGATGCCAAATATGGATAATATCGGTTCAAGGTTTACCCTAACCCCCATAAACCTAATAGTAAGATTTTAAAAATTCTGGTTGAGCTTATACCTTATAGTCAATATGTGAGGCATCTTATATAGGGTGATCCATTTCGAGGTTCCCTACTTTTGCAAAATCTTTAAAGAAAAAAATTAGGAAAGTTCAAATTTAATGGGGAATGTTTATTATCATTCGAAAGAACATTCTCTGGCATTTATTTTTTGAAGATTATCTCTTTCAAATGTTGGCCGCGGCTACGTCTCAGATGGTTCATCCGTTGGGTCCAATTTTTTATGAGTTGATCGAGCATGTGTTTTGCTCCAAGGCCTGAATCGACCCGTTAGAAATTATGAGAGCATCGCTATCTATTAACAGTGTGGCCTTGTGCCTAAAAGGAAGAAATCGTGGGGTAGTGTTGATTTCTATAATCGAATAGGTCTAAAATTCATGCCCCTAATGTAATGGCTTTCGATTATTAGGTTGCCTTTTAGCTGATATATCCAATATATTAAATTAAGCCCCTTTGGTTAACTTTTTACCCTATATATCTCGTTTGAGTTAATTATGTTGAATTTAATAAATATTTCGGATAGGAGGCGAAATGTAGTAACCAAACTAAGTGAGTAAATTAGTAAGATATTAAATTTTATTGTAATTCATCCAAGATTTCGTCAAATATTAAATGTTGAAATTATACGCATAATTTATTTATTATAAAGCTTTGTCAATACCTGAAATTAAGCCCAGCATTTAATTTTTGCATATGAGAGAGTTTAAAAAGTTCGGTTACACCCGCAGTTAGGTTATCTTACTTGTGTTTTAGTGAATTTATATAGTCGACACTCCGTCGTCTTAAGTTCTAAGATTTGAAAACTGTTAAACCGTTAGAATTTTGTTTAGTCCCAAGTTAGATTAATATATGTTAGCCTAGCTAGGTAGAGTTAATATCTGACGACACATCGGCATATGTTAGCCTAAGATCAGTAAAATCTTACATTTGCCGTTCGAAATAAGAGGCGAAAATAAGTGAAACGATTCTACCAACCTTTAATGAGATTCATTTTGTTATCATTTTATACTATTGCAACATATTGCTACAGAGTATTATAGATTTGTTCACCTAACGATTGTTTGTATCACCTAAAACTAATCGAGATAAATATGGGGTTATATACATAAAAATGAACAGGATGACGAGACGAGTTGAAATCCGATACCATCTGCCTGTGCAAGCTGTACCTATAGTAGAAAGGAACATATCTTGATGAAACTTTGTACACATGTTCCATGGCAAAAAAGTGAGGACGAGTTCGTAAACAGGCGTAATCGGACCACTGTCACGTCCACAAAACGGGGTATCAAAAACGTATAAAGTACCATAACTAACAATATCACACTAGCAATATTAATTTATCACACTAGTGTGAAAAAAGGTGTAATCGGATGATAACACCGCCCACTTCCCATTTAACAGTTCTGTTAAATACTACTAAAAGTGCGATAAATGTACAAATAAATGCGCCAGAGACATAGAAGTTTATACCCGGTGGTATGGTATGGTACGAAAGACCTTGTGTTAAATTCGAACGATTAGAGTGGCACCGATCACATTGAGGTAAAAGTCCATATCTCGGGTTCTACTGGACCAATTTCCACCAAATTTGGTGCATAACATTACTATGACATTCCTCTGTTACTTTGCGAAAATTCCATATGATTTTTACACTTTTCTGTATAAAAACCAAACACCAATTAAAAAACTCGGATTCAACTTTACACATGTAACTAGTTTGAGTCATTCCATCCCAAATCTAAAAATTGTTAAAATCGGATCATAACTTTTCAAGTCCCCATATACCGAATATGGAGACCCCAGTACCTGTTGCTAATTTTTTACCGGAAATATCGGTCAACTTGTGAGACATATTATTGTAATTCGGGCAGAGTTGCTTCCCAATAATTCTTTTAGCCCCCGTTAGACTAATAGTAAGATTTTCGAACTTCCGGTTGACTTTATACCGCTTACATCGATAAATAGGTGAGTTATCTTAATAAAATTGAGAGAAAGTCTTTTCCTAATAACGGTGTATCCCTGAACCTAAAATGAATAAAATATTGTTAAAACTTGCCCTAGACTTAATATAACTAACAAATCTTATGCACCTGAAGGTATTTCCTCGCAAGTTGCAAGAGTATTAAAAGTTTGGTTGCACCCAAACTTAGCCCTTCCTTACTGGTTTATTAGTCCCTTCGAGTTTGTAGCCGCGGCAAATATTGTTATAGGGCAGACCTATTTTCAACGCATGTTCACCAAATACTCCGTTATGGTAGCCGAAAGTTTGGATGTTATTTTCCTGGACCTATTTAAGAAGTACATATATACCTCAAGCTCTTTTCTTGTCATACGTAGGTCATATGAAATTGTTTTCGTTGCAGAAAATTTTTCTGTGTCCAAGAACCCTGTGGAGTTACTCTACCAGTAAGCTCAAAGATTTGCTACAATTGGTGAACACGCTGGCGGTGTTTATAAATGTGTTGAAATTAATTAAAATTTATAAATAACTAAAAATTTGCTAGTATTACTACAGCTAACACAAAAGCAAACTCAAACTAAAAAAATATTTTACCAAAACATTATAAAACCAACTTTGGAACAAAGAACGAAAATTCCTTTGTAAGTGATGATATGCTTCGAGACGCCCATTGTTAGATTTCGGTCAGAAATATACCAGTTCATACTATAATAATTTTAATTTTGTAAAAAAATACTAATTCTGAAGTAACTGCATGCCCTTTTTAAAACAATTTTCGTAATAGTAAATGCGAATCTAAATATATCTCTGACTAGTTCTTATCCTACCAGTTCCTGCTCTTGCTGGTTTAATGGTTTACTGCAGGGTATGCACATTTGCAGCAATTTATATGTATGTAAGTGTATTTTCTTAATCATTGAAGAATTTTACGATTTCTTTATGTCTTCAGTATCGCATCCTCGTGGCTTTGATGCGAGATTACAACAGCCTCTTAACAACAACAACGTGTTCATGTGTACCATTTTAAGGTGAGCATTTAAATATGGCACATGTCATGTGTGTTTATATGTGTGAATAGTAAATTTCATTCGTGTACCTTTTGAATATTAATCGCTAAAGTTTCACAACTCGAAATCGTTTTTTTACGTTAACCCTACTTAAAAACTTGCAAATAGTGGAAAACATAAAAGAAACGTTTTGCGCATTTAAATTTAGTATGCGCGCATATAAAACGGTTAATTTTTAAGTCAAGATCTAATTAATTTGAGAAACCTAAGCATTTGCGGTCATTGACTCGTAACTGATCCTATTTACAGCACTTTATACTGTTTTTTGCTTTTATCTCGCATTTCTTATGGAATAAATTTATTTTTCCTTTATTTGTTGTTTTGAGTCAGGCACTCTAAGCATTAATTTGTGCCGTTTCAGACAGGGATTCAAAAGAGTCTGATGTTTTTCAAATTTTCTTTTGGTGTGGCTCTGGGCATTCACACGGTCAAAAAGAGTCCAACAACTCGAGTCTAGTTTTTCTGCATTCCTTTTCACAAAATTTTCGTAAATATTTGTGCGGTTCGACTGCGCAACACCGCGCAACACTGCGTGCTGCGTATTTCATTTGTATGTTGAGATGATGGTCACACATTTTGCTTACAATAAATTACCA